GTCTTTCAATCGGACACTTTCCGACGCCATGGAAAGTGGCGTCAGTCAAAATCCTTCCAAAACCCAACAAAACCGACTACTCAGACCTCACATCATACCGACCAATAGGACTCCTACCAATCTTCGGAAAAACTCTGGAAAAACTCTTCATTAGACGCCTAACATTTGACGCTCAACGCCAGAACACATGGAGTCGACGCCAATTTGGCTTCAGAGAACAAACGTCAACGTCTGACGCCCTTCACCACGCCATAGACTTCATCAGAGAAGCAAAGTCCCGAAATCGTCAATGCGTCGGCGTCTCTCTTGACATCAAAGCAGCGTTTGATAACGCTTGGTGGCCATCGCTTTTGGAGCGTCTTCGCGTCACTCGATGCTCGAACAACATCTTCAAACTAATCACAAGTTATATCGATGGACGGACTGTGACGCTCGATTACGGTGACGCGTCATCAGTCAAACAGATGACCAAGGGATGTGTCCAAGGCTCTGTCTGCGGACCAACGTTTTGGTATCTAATTCTCGACGAACTACTAGAGACGCCCCTCTCAAACGGTTGCCACATTCAAGCGTTCGCCGACGACGTTCTGTTGTTAGTCAGTGGAAAAGACGCCAATGAAATACAAGAAGTAACAAATGACGCCCTAAAAACAATATTCGAATGGGGCGTCGGCGTCAAATTGACATTCAGTCCGACTAAAACACAAGCGATTGCATTTACACGAGCGTCAACTGACGCCACCATCAGCGTCAACGGCGTCACACTCGCATATGAAGACAACATCAAACTATTAGGTGTCATAATAGACAAGAACTTAAGCTTTATTGCACACGTCAAACACGCCATATCGAAGGCGTCAAACGTCTTCAAAAACTTGTGTAAATTTGTGCGTCCAACCTGGGGCGTCCACCCGGAAAATGTCACAACTATTTACAGACAAGTCATTGAACCGACAATCACCTACGCGTCAGGCGTCTGGGGTGACGCGGCGAGGCGTCCGGGACCAAAAAGACTATTGCGTTCATTTCAGAGAACATTCGCTATCAGAGCAATCCGCGGTTTTCACACAATCTCTGCGGTGTCGGCGTCAGCGTTGGCACAATTCACTCCATTACACCTGAAAATACGCGAAGTGTTGGAAATAGAGACAGTAAAACGCGTCGGCGTCTGCCCAACACTACCAGAAGACCTAACACTCGAAAGACGCATAAGACCTGAAGAGCGTCTTCACCCCAATAGGCGTCGAATTTTGACGCACTCTGAAGTTACGACACAAACTGACGCCGACGCCATAGCGTCAGATACCAACATATACACGGATGGAAGTAAACTGGAGTCAGGAGAAGTCGGGGCGTCAGTAGTCATATATACGTCCAACAACCGCGTCATCACAAGAAAGTATAGACTGAACAGTTGCTGCACGGTATATCAGGCGGAACTCTTAGCGCTGACCAAAGCTCTCCAATGGGCTGACGCCAACCTCATAACTGACGCCACGATTTATTCAGATAGCAGATCATCACTTGACGCCATCGTAAGCCCCTCAAACAGTCACCCATTAGTGGCGTCAATTCATCAAAGTCTTTCAAGCATCACATCAAAACATCAAATTAAACTCGCGTGGGTTAAGGCACACGTTGGCATCACCGGAAACGAAGCGGCAGACGCGGCCGCAAAAGACGCCGCCACCAAACATAGCGCATACGAATACAATACATTTCCCATCAGTCTCGCGAAACAGATCATTCGACGCCAAATCTGGACAGAATGGGCGTCAGATTACGAAAACGCGTCAGAAGGGTCCGGTACGCGTCTTTGGCTCCCAACACTGGAAAGCGTCAAACAGTTTACTGCTTTGACGAACACATCATTCGAAATGACGCAGATTCTCACAGGACATGGTTTCAATAAAAGTTATTTACATCGATTTAAGATCTGTAGTGACGCCAAATGTCCGTGTGATGACGCGACGCCACAATCAATAGAACATCTCCTAAAGTCGTGTCAAAGGTATGCGTCACAGCGTCATCAATACACCACACTATGCACTGAAACATCTGACGCCAATCCATTCGATTTGGCGTCACTCGACTCAAATTCCTTAAAGTGTTTTGAAGACTTTGTCAAAGAGGTCATCGGGACGCTTAAAGAGCTCAACACATAGAAGACACTACAACTCAACACAACTACACACCAGCATATGACGCCTGTATCCATTAGCAGGCGTCAAAACAAAACAAAACTTATTTGGCTTATATTCCCTTATTTATTTTACATTATCTCTTACCATATAATAATTATAATTTGTAATTTGACGCCGACGCTCTGACGCCGACGTCACATGATTCTCTATTTATATTAATTCTGTATTTTTTACCTGACGCCAAATAAACTCATTTAAAAAGGAAAAAAAACCTAACCTAACCTAACCTAACCTAACCTAAATCTTTTAACTCAATAACTTTGATTGTGATTGACTGCCACCAGAATGAGACACTGCACTCATAGCACGCATACCACTGCATGCATTCATACAAACATACTTTGGACAGTTATGTTTAGGTGAGGTACACACATGAGCACAGGCAGCACATTCACACACCATTCATCCACTCTACCATTCATAGATAGTTTGTTGTACTGGAGTGAGTGGTGAGCATCGGTATGAGCACTGGTACGCCTGCACTGGTAACATAAACTTGTTTGGTTTGGCAATTTCAGCAATAGTGGCATAACTGCAACACAACTGCAACAGTGTTCGCTGATCACTGATCATATGTAGTGCTATACGACTATAAGACTCTGGTCTTAGGCTTCAATTGTTTGTGTTTGTGTTCACATAAGACTACAGACTTGTGTTTTGGGGCAATGGCTGCGAGTCGAGCACTTCCAGCGCCTCCACTTCGGGTCCACTTGTGTGGTCTCATAGCTGTGGCTATGTTTGTGTTGGTGGTGGTGATGGGGGACACGGACTTGGGCACCGGTATGTCTTCGTGTCCCATCGAGTGTGACTGCAATGCATATACTGTTGACTGTTCCCATCGCGGGTTAACACAAATACCTCAACCCATACCACCCGAAGCGCGCAGACTGTAAGTCCAACACATCTATACATCTATTATGCTATCATTTCATACATTACAGTATATACTGTTATACAATCTATGATTACTTAAATATATCACATTTTGTACATATAATGCGAGTAAATTGATGCAAATGCAGTGCAATCTCATTCATTCATTGACCGATAATTGATAGGCAGTCCACAGTCCATGTGATTAATTGTTACACATTCACTCAACACGAACAATGGCTTCATTTGCCTAACATTTATCATCACCGGACCTCTCTCTCTCTCTCTCTCTCTCTCTCTCTCNTACATGACTACATGCTATGCTCTCATTTAATGCAAACTTCATTTTCTTGTCAAATCTAATAAAAAGTGTATCAAAACTAGACCACAACCACATCGTCCCTACCTTTCCCTCTCTCTCTCTCTGAATGCATTGATCAGTAATCACTGACCATAAAACCAATGATTATTTTGTCAAACTTTGTTATAATGTGTATTGAAATGAGTTGTTTGATGGCCGTATGGACCGCACAGTCAGTCAGTCAGTCATTGATTCTCAGTGGGACTACAATTGAACTCACAGTACAATACTGTCAATGAATTTGTATATAATTATAGTTTAGGTGCACTACTAATACAAAGAGAGTGATAGGGAGGGAAAGGTAGGGACGATGTGGTTGTGGTCTAGTTTTGATACACTTTTTATTAGATTTGACAAGAAAATGAAGTTTGCATTAAATGAGAGCATAGCATGTAGTCATGTATTTGGTACCCAAAAAATGGCAATTTTATTATATTTGAATAGTCGGTCGACTAATTAATTTTGCCCAAAGCTATAGCCATGCAATGCAAACACAAGCAAACAAGCAATACATACATATAGATGGATACAAATGGCAAACAGAGCAGAAAGTTTTGGTGATTACTTTTATGACCAATACTCTCGTTTGGCATTTCATATATTCACCAAATATTGTCTCGTTTATCACTAAATGTCTCACTTGACTATCATTTGCCACAATTCAAATCATTTCAAGAGATTGAATGCATGAAATGTACAGCAATGTAGTGAACATAGTCTCAACATTCATGAATTGTCAATTCAAAACAATTCACTTCAACTATAGTTATATGAAAATATTTTGCATTGCAATGACTTCTGTATCTATTATTAACTCAAATAAATAATAGCATTGATAAGCAATTTTGTGTTTATCTACTTTTTCACTTTTGCCAATTGCACTGTACTTATAATACAGATAATACAGTATTGAGTACTTTAAACATAACAATTATAGCTATAATGGATCCTTTCGTATACTCGCGAGTCAGTCAAACAAATTCCTATTTACACCACTATTTTTGTGACACAACACAAAAATTCAAATATATATACCAAATTTTAATTATTTACTAATTTTTTGTCAATTACATGTTTCCCAATTTGAGCAATATACATTTCATAGCAATATATAGTTCAATATTAGTTATAATAATTTTTGCCAACTATTGTCTTATGTTGTGTTTATTGACAGCATTCTCAACAACAATCGCATCAAAAGGATTGCCAACTCAGGAATATTTAAAAAGTTGTCGATTCTTCAGGAATTGTACGTTATTTTACATCTTTTGACTACAATTTATTGATGACATCATTTGGTAACTCTTCTTGTCTTTCCACACGACAGAGATCTCCGCAATAATGAGATCACAGACATAGAGGACGACTCGTTTTCTGGCGCCCATTCACTCGCAGACCTTTTGATCACTGAAAACAAGTTGAATCAAATCAGACCCGAGATGTTGGCCGGACTCAAGAACATTACCAATGTGTAAGTCTTCCACAGTATACTACTGTAGTATCCATTTATTGCTAATACAGTACTACGCTGTACAGGTCAAACTTACCCCTCATTTTCATTCCCTTTCCCTTAATTTTTCCTTAAAGGGTTTCCCTTCCCGGCTTACGTGTCGGTAATCCCTTTCCCTTCACGTATATGATTTTTGATTCCCTTTACCTTCACGTTCATTAAGAGATTGGGAAGGAAAGGGAAGTTTAAGGGAAAGGGAACCCGACTTTGACCTGTACTACGCGGTATAACTTGAAATATCGTCAAATGTTTTTACAAAACAACTGATAAACATTTATAATTACGGTACAAATATGTAAAGTAAACTCTTTACAAAATTTTACTCATTTTAAATTCATGTTTAGCTTTATTTATGTTTAAATTAATTAGTTATTTTTTACTTTAATCTTTGAATATTATAATTTTCTTTATTTAAAGCAAAAGCTATTAAAATATTACAGTATACTACAGTAGACTAGTACACTAGCGCTTATACTTATAAGTTATAACGTTTTAGTAATTATATTTTAATCAGTGTGACCAGATCGAAAATCTAAAATACTTGTATTTTGAATAAACTATCCAAAAAATACTTTACAAAGTCTTTTTTGTAAACTACAATTAAACTATGTTTTATAACAGCTCCAACACTATTTAATATAACAATAACTTAAGATTATGCTCAATTAAATTATTAAAAATGTTTTAAGTTAAGAAACTTGTAATCAGGAGGCCCCGGGTTCAAGTCCCGCGCGCGACCTTTTAGTGCAATTTGTCTTTTCAATGATTTCTAATACTTTCCACCCATTTATCTGATATAATAATAAGTTATTGAAAAAACTTCTCAAATAAACTTAAGAAATTAAATCTAAAAATTTAACTAATTGGGAAAAAATTCATTTTAAAATTGTTTTAGTTTTCTAGAATTGAATGTCATTTTTTCAATTTTAAAATTTATTATTAATCGTTATTTTATTTTAAGCTCAAATACTTGTCAAATTAATTTCAAGTATTAATTGGAGCAATAGAGGTTATTTCCCTATACTGGTTATTATTGAAAATTAATAAACTACGGTATCAGTAAAACTGAACAATTTGAAAAAATCATAATATCCCATGTTTTTCAGGTTATTTATCATAAAAATTAATATTTAATATAAGATTATTACAACATCAATCATGTTAATTTGTTATTTGGTCGCGATTTTATATAATTTCATTAATGATTTATGTAAAATAAAATACTTGTCTTTATAATGTCAAGTTAAATACTTGGGATCTGGTCACTCTGATTTTAATCGTAATTCTAATTCATTATTTAAGAATCTAATAAATTTTAAGCATTTTTCCCCTTATTTTTACTGATAAAATGACTAGATGATTTTAATTTGCATAAAACCTTATTTCTATACATTAAAGTTAATAAACAAATTTTGTAGTTCATATTTTAAATTCACTCTTATTTTATAGGCCAATAAGAAGTTTGTCATAATACTAGGATTATAAATTAACTCACAAGGCTTTTTATTATATATTGATTTGAACTGGTAACTTTTTAATTATTTAATTCATAATAAATTGCAGACGACTGGAGCAAAACATGATAACAGAAGTGCCTCCCAAAGCTTTCGCACCTTTCAAACGACTCACCAGAATGTAAGTCCACTCAAACACTATACTCTCCACTCATTGAATAACTTTGCATTATTATGATTGCATTGATTAGAGACATATCCAAGAATAATATCACGAGAATCTCCTCCAATGCCTTTTCTGGACTTAAATCTCTCAGTTCTTTGTAAGACATTTACAGTATTACTAATACTATTATAAAATCCAAAAGAAATCCGATTTATTTGTTGAAAACCAATTAAATTTTGATTAGATTTTTATTTGGAAATCAAATCACGGATCTACCCGAAGGTCTATTCAAAGGACTCTCATCTCTACAACTTCTGTAAGTACTCCATGTCTTATCGTAGTACAGTATAATAGTATTTACAGTTAGTGTACTGTACTGTATAGTACTACTCATCAGCCAATTAACCATTTATTCACTATTTTCTGTAATCATGGCATATCAATATTTAATGTGATTTAGTAATAATTGTTACAATCATCTATTAATAATGCAATACAATATTAAATACTAATGAATAGTAATGATTGATGTCATTGTGTTTAGATTATTGAACGCCAATCGCATTACATGTATTCGGAGCGAAGCATTCTCTGACTTACAAAACCTTAACTTATTGTAAGTCTCTATAAGATGTCAAATCATTTCATCCTCTACTCAAATATAGCACCAAATTATTTCAATTCATTTCTAATTGTATCCATTTTCAGATCACTTTATGACAATAACATTCAATCATTAGCTGATGGAGTCTTCACACCTCTCACTAGCATACAGACCCTGTAAGTCTCATTCATTTACATTTTAAACATTTTAATTACTATTACAGTATATTTCAACTAATATCATCACTTTTAATTATAATATTTCATTTACGCTTTTCCAATAAGTTTTGTAAATATTTAAAGTTAATTAGCAGTGAATACGAAACAATTATTATGCTTCAATTCTTGTTTCCCCTATAACTTGGGCGTGATCCACAAGGTACATACGCACGTCTTGGGGGAGGGGGTTTTTGCCAAAGCGTATGTCCCCATGTTAAACTCCTATGTACGATGGGCGTGTATGGGGAGGGGGAGTCAATTTTTGACCAAAATTTTGCGTACGTACTTTGTGGATGACGTCTTATAAGTTTCGTTTTAAAATTATAATTAGTTTTACTCAAAACTTTTATATTTTAAGTTATATTTATACTATTAAATTTCGTATGTACTACAGTTCAACTTAGTTTTATTAATTTTAATAAAGGTTTATGATTTCTTTATAAACATTATAATGGCAACTTTATCTTGATGAATATAATTGAGTGAAACTGACTTAAAACCAAAAACTTATAATTAATAATATTTAAAGTTTAAGCGATCTTGACCAAGTGCACATAAAAATATTTAATTAATTAAAAGTTTTCAGTCCATACATCCCAGATCTGATAAGTAGTGTTAGATACAGTTAGTAGTGTTAGTTATTTATGTATTTATACTGTAGAATACTGTAGATATTGTATAATATAGCTGAACATACGTATATTTAGTACCGGTAACTTAGAATTAATTTTAAATATTTATAAATAGTGTGAATTATTCAAATAAAAAATTCTTTGTAAAATAAATATGTTACTGCTGATTTAGTAATGCATTTGAGACCCATTCAACAAATTAATGAATTATGTTTGTTTGCAGTTTAGAAAATAAAATACTTGCATGATAAATATGAATTGAAATGATAGTAATTGTGTGTATGATTGGCAGACATTTGGGTCGAAACCCCTTCATATGCGATTGCAACCTGAAATGGTTGGCCGATTACTTGGAGGTGAGGCCAACTCTGGAGACATCGGAAGCCAGATGTGAAGAACCGAAACGAAATGCTCGCAAAAGGATCTCTCAGTTGTCGACCGATAAGTTCAAATGCAGGGGAATGGAGGAGTTGAGGACTAAATACGCTAACCAGTGCTTAGTGGACACCAAATGTCCCGACAATTGTGTTTGCGATGGAACGGTAGTCGACTGCTCCAAACGAGACCTCAAAGACATTCCCAATGATATCCCGACATTTGCCACTGAATTGTGAGTGTTTTCATTGCTACTTATTTCTACAAATTTCAGTTCACGAAGTATTAGAGACACAAAACTATATTTATAGACAATGTTTAAGTGAATTATTGTTTACATAATTAGTTAGAAAATAAACCAAACATTAAATGAGTTCTTGTGATTAATTTACTGCTCATATATATACAAAATAACATATAAATCACTGTTAAATAGCAATGTCTTCAATCGTCAGCAATACTAAACTCAAATGTTTTGTCAAAATTCTTTGAAAATCGTCCGTTTGTTCAGTTCATGAATCAAATGCTTATTATATCTCAACGAAAACTAAACTTCAGTAAAATTCAAATGGAAATTATTATCAAATACTGTATTTTATATTTGGATTAAAGCCGTCAAAAATGTTATGAATAGAAAACTTTTAAAATCGTTTCCAAAGTCAAAGCTTTGACACAAATCTTAAGCCAAAGCAAACATAAATGCGATTAATATTTCATAAATTGTTAACATTTAATATTACAGTTTTGTATCACCGATGAAAGAAAGATAGGAATGATTTTTTTCTTCGTGAGTGAGGGGGAGGGAGAGAGAGAGAGAGAGAGAGAGATCCAAAAGGAAATAATCTAAAACTTATATATAAAATAGAGATTTTAAAATGTTTGTCGAAAAGAGAACAAAGTTTGCAATAAATCATTGGATTTGTAGTGAAATAACAGAAAAGTATTTTATTTTCAATAAGAATGTGTTTGCTATGGAATTGAATGCTTTGCTATTCTTCCAGTGCTTCACTACCAGTGCTTCACTCGTCAGTAACGTTAGAGTGAAGTCAAATTGAAAGGGAGAGTGAGATATATTTTACAGACAAACTGTTCAGTACATCCCATAGTGCTATATATGTGTCCAAAACACACCGGCATTTGTGAAGACTGA